TTTACAAACTGAAGCACAACAATGACAACATTTAACAAAATCACTCCAACAACAATAAACACTTTGAATCGTGAGAGCAGCCTCCCATTCAAAAAGAACCAACTTCTGCCGTTAGCTGCTAAATTAATCAGTGATGTCTTCAGCTGCAACAGCATACATCGGGTTTTATATAGTCTGTCTTGAAGTAGATTCACTCTGTCGCTCCGACAGTTTGATAGAAATTAAGAGCGTCCTCGGGCGGACTCTGTCACTGCAGCGCCGCCGCTGTGAGGACGTCCAGAATAATAAGTATTCTTACAGCGGTGATGGAGAGACGGGACTGTGATTAAAAGGGAAACAAACTCCTAATTAAAATAAATCAGGTGGTTACGACCCCGTTGCACAAGAATTCAGTGATGAGCAGCTCTCATAAATATTCATGTTTTATTCCCAACAGAAGAGAGAAAACACATCAAATGTTTAAACTGAGACTTTTACTGTTCTCCATGGAAAAGAGGAAGATTTTGTAAGGAGGAGAAGCAGCGGGGCAGCTCTGAGCACGAGGCTGTTTTCTACATGTTCATTTGTTTTCTTTGCTCTGATTAAATCTACTTTAACAAGTTTGCAGATACGAGCAGTTTTACTCTGATTACACAAACTGTATGCAGGACTCAGTAGTATTATATAATATTATACTGCAGTATATTTCTGACTAACCTGACGACACTTACATATTTTGAAATCTGTAGACAGTACTTTCTATATGCTGACGACACACAGCACACCTGTAAGGTTGGGAAACTAACCCAACCCTGCTCTACCTGAAGCCCTGACACAGTTTATCCAGCTACACGTCCACAGAGCGGGTCACCTCGGCCGAGGTAATCAGGTCACTGGCAGCAGGTCAGTAACATGTCTGGGTTTCTTTTTGTTGAAGCTAAGATTCGTTTTTCAAATGCGCTTCCTCCTGTAAGCGTCTCCTGCTGATCTCCAAAGATTTTCCATAAACCTTAGAAATAGATTATCTGGAATATTTTGAGTTGTCCTCCTAACAGGAGCTGAAAAAACTCAGACCTGGTTCAATCATCGACTCACCGATCAGCGTAGCCAGGGAGCAGTGGGGGACGGTGGGGGAGAACCTGATGATGATGAGGTACTCGTCTTCTCCGAGCTCCTGCACCTCCACGCACTTCTCCGTCACCACCTCCAGCTCCTCCAGGGTGTTGGGCTTCTCTGGGTCACGGATCGATTTGATCACATCTGATGGAGGGCAGAAAAAGAAAACGGGAGTCACATGACAGCGAGATTAAAGTGAGAAAACAGGCAAAGCCTCGTGTTTGAGGATCAGCTGAAACAAACTGAACGATACGAAGAGTCCAAGAAATTCAGAGTTTTTCCTGCTGCAGAGCAGACCTGTAGGAAGGTCACTGTAAAGGCTGTCAGGCTCAGAGATACATACACCCCCACGAATGTCAGGTTAAATGCCTCTTAGCAAGATGCACCTCAACCACATGTTTTTGTATCCATCAACCAGCTTCTGGCACGTCTGGCTGATATTTGACTGCTCTCCTTTGCTGAATTTAAACTGGTCCACAAATTTTCAGGGGTTTGAAACGCTCAATGCTAAGCCCAGTGTTAGCCTGCTCTATCCAAAACCAGTTCTGATGTGTGTTTGGGATCGTTGTCCCGTTGGAACTCCTGACTGTGTCCCCGTTTCACCCGGCTAGCTGCTCAGAGCTGAGGGGGACAGTCTGGGTCTCTCCCAGACCTCAGGGGTGACAGATCTGAGTAACTTGTGTGATCTTGGATCCTTGCTCAGAAACGGCTCAGAGAGACTTTCCCAACTTGTGTAAATCTGCACTTCTGCTTTTCAGATCTTCACTGAGATGGCTGGACTTTCCCATTGTTCCCAGTATTGGTCAATCCAGTGAATGCTGTCAAACAAATCCTTTTTATGCTGCAGAGAGAATCTGTCAGTTGTAATTAACCATGATCACTAATGAGAAGCTAACAGGCTTCGGCCAAGTTTAAAGACATTATAGAACCTCCAACATCATTTATCACAAGCTTTCAGCATGTGTACGTAAACATCAAAATCAATTCAGACTTGAGCACCCAGATCCTGTTTTTTAAAACAGTCCATCCTGGAAGAAGAACCGTTCAAAGAAATCATTAAAAGCCCAAAATGACTGTGAGGTTCAAGCCTGTGATGAGTGGATGGAAACTTAATGTAGTTTTACTGAGGAGGAGTTAAAAATAGGTCAAATGTTGAGGGTAAGTTTTAATTCTCTAACCTTTTCCACATGTTTAACCAGCCAAATCTTTTCTTTCGTCGCACCAAACTCCAGGTCAATAATCTCACATTTAACTTGATCTTCAACAGTTTACGTTTTTACTACTAATCTATAACACCTGCTAAAGCTCATTACACGGTCGACACTTCGGCGCGTGATTTAATCATCTGCGAGCAAAACTGACAGAAAACTCTTACTCGGATAGTTTTTCTTACAGTGTGGCGG